GTGTTTCTCTATCTCTTTCTTTTTTTCTTTCCCTCTTGCTCTCCGTTCCCACACTCTTTTTTGCTTTCTCCTTCCCCTCGCCTTCTTTCTCTCCCATCCTCTCTGTCTCCCAACTCCCATCTGCCTTCCTCCTTCCTCTCCCTTTCCGTTTTTCTTCGTATTTTCATAACGAATTTATTTTTTTTTAATTGTTATTTTTCAGTCTTACCTTTCTGCCTATTCTTCCTCGCTTTCGCGTTGTGGTTGTGGTTGTATCTCGTTCGCTTCGCCTGCGACGGAACCGGAGGGAGAGGGGAGGGAGAAAGGGGAGAGGGGAGGGGGGGAGGGGGGGAGGGATGGGGTAGGGGGAGGAGGGGAGGGAAGCGAGGAGGGAGGTGGGTAGGGGGATGAGAGAGAGGAGGAGGGAGGGGAGGAAGGAGGGAGGGAGAAAAGTAAATTAGCTGTGTTGGTGGGGGGGGGAGGGGGAGGGGAAGGAGAGGGGAAAGAGAAGGGGAGGAAGAGAGAAAAGGGAGAGGAAGGAGAAGGGATAAGACAGTGAACTGGCTGTATGGGCGAAGGATGGAGAGGGAGAGAAGAGAAGAGAAGAGAAGAAAATAGAAGAAAAAGGGAGAAGGAGAGGAGGAGAGGGAAGCAGAAGCAGATGAAAGAGAGGGGGAAGGGGAGAGGGGGGGGGTCGAATGGGAAGCGAGGATGCGAAGAGGGAGATGAAGGAATGAGAAGGGAGAGAGGTGGGGGGGGGGGAGGACACCCATCCGTCTTTTTTGTTTCCGATGCCACGCTTGGGCGGCGGAGCGCGGGCGTGCCGGCACGTGGGCGGGGGGCGCGCCTGTCCGTTTCGGGGCTGGGGGAGGGCGGGTGGGGGGCGGGGGCAGATTTGAGTCGCTGGGGCAAGAGGCGGCCGGGGTTTCCTTGTTCCGGGCGGGAGTTGCCCGAGGAAGCGAATCGCCTGTCTCCGGGCGTCTCGCCTCGGGGAGGGCTCTGGGACGGTTTTAGTTGCGTAGCTATTTTTTGACTAATTTATTTTTTGGGGGTTAGGTCTTCGATTTATATATATATATATATATATATATATATATATATATATATATATATATATATATATATATATATATATATATATATATAACATACATGTATATATGTATATATGTATATAGATAGATAGATAGATATATAAATACGCATGTATACATACATATACATAAATATACACATAAATGTGTATATATATATAAATATGTGTATTAATATGTATAATATACAAAATATATATGATATTTATAATATATATATAATACACAGACATATATATGCATATATACATATATATGTGTGTGTGTGTGTGTGTGTGTGTGTGTGTGTGTGTGTGTGTGTACACATATATACATATATACATATATATATACATTCATATACATATATATATATATATATATATATGTATATATATGTATTTTATATAATATGTATAATATATATAATATATATTATGTATATATTTACATGTATATATATATATATATATATATATATATATATATATATATATATATATATATATATATATATATATATATATATAAGATATATATATATATAAATATGTATATAAATATGTATATAAATATGTATATAAATATGTATATAAATATGTATATAAATATGTATATAAATATGTATTTATATATATATATATATATATATTATATATATATATATATATATATATATATATTTTCATTTATATATTCATTTATATATTCATTTATATATATATATATATATATATATATATATATATACATATATATATATATATATATATATATATATATATATATATATATATATATATATATATATATTGATATATATTGATATATATTGATATATATTGATATGTGTATGTATATGTATATATATGCATATGTACAATCGTATATATACATATAGAAATATATATATTCATAGACATGCACATCTCTCTCTCTCTCTCTCTCTCTCTCTCTCTCTCTCTCTCTCTCTCTCTCTCTCTCTCTCTCTCTCTCTCTCTCTCTCTCTCTCTCTCTCTCTCGCTCTCCCTCTCTTATCCTACTCCCTCTCTCCTCCTCCTTCTCCTCCTCCTCCTTCTCCTCCTCCTCCTCCTCCTCCTCCTCCTTCTTCTTCTCCTCCTTCTCCCTCTCCTCCTCCTCCAACTCCTCCATATCCGCTTCCTCTTTCTCCTCCTACTCCTGCATCTCTTCCCCTTCCTTCATCTCCTCCTCCATCTCTTCCTCCTCCTGCCCCCCTCCCCCTCCCGGGCGGAAAGCCGGCCAGGTGGGTCAGGCGGCAGGCTCTCGAGGGTCGATACACTGACAGCGACTAAACTTTGAGCTGAGAAGACCGGGCGGAGGGGGGGGGGGGACGGGGGAGTAGGGGGCGGAAGGGTGCCATCGGGGAGGGAAGGTGCCAGAGGGAGGGGAGGGGAGGAAGGGGGGGTGAGGGGAAGGTGTAAAGAGAATGGGCTAGAGATGGGGGAGGTTTGGAGGGCTGGGCGGAGGGAGGGCAAGTGGAAAGGGTGAGGATGGGGGGGGGGGGGGATCCACGCCCAATCGCAACGTCACTCACTCCTGCAGCAGCACCCCTCTCCCCCCCTCCGGGTGTTCTCACGTCTCCTTCGACGCCCCTTCTGCCTCCTCTCTCTCTCTCTCTCTCTCTCTCTCTCTCTCTCTCTCATCTCTCTCTCTCTCTCTCTCTCCTCTCTCTCTCTCTCTCTCTCTCTCTCTCTCTCTCTGTCTCGCACATATCCCCCCCATATATAAATTTATATATATATATAATGTATATAATGTATATGTATACATGTAATGTATATATATATATGTGTGTGAGTGTGCGTGTTTGTGTGTGTGTGTGTGTGTGTGTATGTGTATGTGTATGTGTATGTGTATGTGTATGTGTATGTGTATGTGTGTGTGTGTGTGTGTGTGTGTGTGTGTGTGTGTGTGTGTGTGTGTGTGTGTGTGTGTGTGTGTGTGTGTGTGTGTAGGCATACATATGCATACATACATACATATGCATGTGCATGTACATCTTCATATCCATATACATATACATTTTTCTCTCTCTCTCCCTCCCTCCCTTCCTTCCTCCCTCCACCTCTCTCTCTCTCTCTCTCTCCTCTCCTCTC